CAATTCAAATGTCATGATGTATGTATTTTTTAGTAATGGGAAGTCCAATGTTTTAACTATGTATAACTGTTTCTATGAAAGTTTTCCTTCGAAGGGGAAATCAAGAGAAGAAAACGACCGAATAATCAAATCACGGGACAACATTTGCGTTATTGGGCTAAGAACGTAACTTAACTAAGTGAGTACAAATATGTATTTGTGTACTTCAACTTCCCTGTTATATAAATCTTAAACACATTTTATTGTTTTAAGTTTTAATTAAAATTAAGTATTTAAACACACGAAGGAATAGGATTTGTATGAGTTAACATGCATTTAGTACTACCTCGTACGATAAACATCCTCAAAGGAGGGAAGCAATCAGAGTGAAAATCATTTTAAATAAAGTATTATTTATATTAACAACAGTGCCATGTATGTAGGTATATGTAGATGACACGGTAGTCTTGTGGTAGGTCACCGGGCTCGTGACCGAAGGTTTGAGGGTTCGAGTCACGTGACGGGCACGGCACTGTGTTGTATATTTGAGCAAGATACTTTACTCAGCGTGTTCCAGTCTACTCAGCTGTAAATGAGTACATGGTTGGGCAGTGCTAGAATTGTTGAATGCTAGCTGTGAGCACCGAAATGGCAGCACCGGCTGTATGCTCCCCAGGGAGTTGAGAACGATATTGGCTGGTTGCAAAGACCATATAACCACGTATAATAATTTATGAACCGCATTGAGACGACCTAAGAACTAGGTTGTGATAAAACGGTATATTAGAACCTCGAATTATTATTATCATGACAATATAGCAAAACAAGGCTCATACACAAGTGTACCTCCATTGACTTGTTTTTCAGCGTTCGTTCAGAATGTCTGCAGAGACACGAGACTTATATGTATTCTTCTCCGAAGTTGGCATATGGTTTCTTATAAACTAACAAACGAACAGATTCTGAAAAATTAACAAGTCAATTGTTTGCTGAAAACTAACAAATCAGTCGTTTCTATAAAGCTAACAATCAAATAGTTTCTTAAATGAACCAATGAATTTTAACAATAATTCTAGATTTTTTCCACTCATTTCAATACAAAAAAAACCCACATAAATCTAAATGTCATTTCAGATATTAGCCATAGTGTGACTGTTCGATGAATCCGTTATGGAACCAATATAAAGAAAGCAAATACACCAACATACCGCATCCAGCAAATATGTACACACGCACGCATACATGTAAATGACACACAAAGAGTCGCGTCCTTAAATGACCTTAACTAATGATAGGACGTTAGACAAAATAAAACCAAACCAAACCATGCCTTAGACATCACCCTTTTATGTCAGTATACAGTATAAGTATGGAAAGTAATGGTCACGTGGTCTATATACGTATTCACAATGTATACAGCCCTGCCTAATGCGTTCAGCGTCTTTTGCAAATATTTCGCGAACATTTGATTGCGCTTATTTGAACTATATTGTCTGCATTAGCGGATGTTATGCGATTCCTGCGCCGCCATGACCTCCCATTATCGGTTGGGTCGCCTTCATTATCTGTTCCTCCATCACATATCTCAGCCCTACAGAACGATCGTCTCCGGGCTTTATTTAGACGTCATCAGATTTGAAGGAACTTGCTGAAGACGGCGTAGACATCTTATCATATATCGGTAGAGACTATGGGGTTTGGCGATGCTCCCCACTGATAACACTGGCCAGTCCGAAAACCTATCTCATGATATTCGTGTACATAGGAAAACATGGAATTGCTCGCTCATGTTACATATAGAAGCTTAAATGTATTGACTGTCTATATATGAACTAACACAAAAAGAAAAGAAGAAGAAATCAGTTTACAAATAAGTTTGACTTCCAGAGTACAAAGCCAGCCATGGAAAGTGAATTGATGAAGCATACGTTTATAGCCCATAACGCCATTAAACCTGGCAATGTCATCTATATATATATGATAATATATATAAAAAAGATTAAATGTGAAGTGAGTAAATATAGAAAAATAAGATTTATTGACCATACCGATTAACTCTGTACATACATATTGCACTGAACCAGTAATCTTGGTGTATCGTGTCAGTGAATCCAGTAAACTTGGTGTATCGTATCAGTGAACCCAGCAAACTTGGTGTATCGTATCAGTAAACCTAGCAAACTTGGTGTATCGTATCAGTGAATCCAGTAAACTTGGTGTATCGTATCAATGAACCTAGCAAACTTGGTGTATCGTATCAGTCAATCCAGCAACCTTGGTGTATCATATCAGTAAACCTAGCAAACTTGGTGTATCGTATCAGTAAACCTAGCAAACTTGGTATATCGTATCAGTGAATCCAGTAAACTTGGTGTATCGTATCAGTGAATCCAGCAAACTTGGTGTATTGTATCAGTGAATCCAGTAAACTTGGTGAATTGTATCAGTGAATCCAGTAAACTTGGTGTATCGTATCAATGAACCTAGCAAACTTGGTGTATCGTATCAGTCAATCCAGCAACCTTGGTGTATCATATCAGTAAACTTAGCAAACTTGGTGTATCGTATCAGTAAACCTAGAAAACTTGGTATATCGTATCAGTGAATCCAGTAAACTTGGTGTATCGTATCAGTGAACCAAGTAATCTTGGTGTATCGTTACAGTGAACCCAGTAAACTTGGTTTATCGTATCAGTGAACCCAGTAAACTTGGTGTATCGTATCAGTGAATCCAGTAAACTTGGTGTATCGTATCAATGAACCTAGCAAACTTGGTGTATCGTATCAGTCAATACAGCAACCTTGGTGTATCATATCAGTAAACCTAGCAAACTTGGTATATCGTATCAGTGAATCCAGTAAACTTGGTGTATCGTATCAGTGAATCTAGCAAACTTGGTGTATCGTATCAGTGAATCCTGTAAACTTGGTGTATCGTATCAGTGAATCCAGTAAACTTGGTGTATCGTATCAGTGAACCCAGTAACCTTGGTGTATCGTATCAGTGAACCTAGCAAAATTGGTGTATCGTATCAGTCAATCCAGCAACCTTGGGGTATCATATCAGTAAACCTAGCAAACTTGGTGTATCTTATCAGTAAACCTAGCAAACTTGGTATATCGTATCAGTGAATCCAGTAAACTTGGTGTATCGTATCAATGAACCTAGCAAACTTGGTGTATCGTATCAGTCAATACAGCAACCTTGGTGTATCATATCAGTAAACCTAGAAAACTTGGTGTATCGTATCAGTAAACCTAGCAAACTTGGTGTATCGTATCAGTGAATCCTGTAAACTTGGTGTATCGTATCAGTGAATCCAGCAAACTTGGGGTATCGTATCAGTGAATCCAGCAAACTTGGTGTATCGTATCAGAGAATCCTGTAAACTTGGTGTATCGTATCAGTGAATCCAGCAAACTTGGTGTATTGTATCAGTGAATCCAGTAAACTTGGTGTATCGTATCAGTGAACCTAGCAAAATTGGTGTATCGTATCAGTGAACCCAGTAAACTTGGCGTATCGTATCAGTGAACCTAGCAAACTTGGTGTATAGTATCAGTGAACCCAGTAAACTTGGTGTATCTTATCAGTGAACCTAGTAATCTTGGTGTATCGTATATCAGTAAACCTAGCAAACTTGGTGTATCTTATCAGTAAACCTAGCAAACTTGGTATATCGTATCAGAGAATCCAGTAATCTTGGTGTATCGTATCAGTGAACCTAGTAATCTTGGTGTATCGTTACAGTGAACCTAGTAATCTTGGTGTATCGTAATTGTGAACCCAGTAAACTTGGTGTATCGTATCAGTGAACCTAGCAAACTTGGTGTATCGTATCAGTGAACCAACCAAACTTGGTGTATCGTATCAGTGAACCTAGCAACCTTGGTTTATCGTAACAGTGAATCAAGTAAACTTGGTGAATTGTATCAGTGAATCCAGTAAACTTGGTGTATCGTATCAGTGAATCCAGCAAACTTGGTGTATCGTATCAGTGAATCCAGCAAACTTGGTGTATCGTATCAGTGAATCCAGTAAACTTGGTGTATCGTATCAGTGAATCCAGTAAACTTGGTGAATTGTATCAGTGAATCCAGTAATCTTGGTGTATCGTATCAGTGAATCTAGCAAACTTGGTGTATCGTATCAGTGAATCCAGCAACTTTGGTGTATCGTATCAGTGAATCCAGCTACCTTGGTGTATCGTATCAGTCAATCCAGCAACCCTGGTGTATCGTATCAGTGAATTCAGTAAACTTGGTGTATTGTATCAGTGAATCCAGTAAACGTGGTGTATCGTATTAGTGAATCCAGTGAACTTGGTGTATCGTATCAGTTAATCCAGCAAACTTGATGTATCGTGTTATTGAACACAGTAATCTTGGTGTATCGTGTCAGTGAACCCAGTAAACTTGGTGTATCGTATCAGTGAACCTAGCAAACTTGGTGTATCGTGTCAGTGAACCCAGTAAACTTAGGGTATCGTATCAGTGAACCCAGTAAACTTGGTGTATCGTATCAGTGAACCTAGTTTTGGTGTATTGTATCATTGAACCTCGTAACCTTGGTGTATCGTATCAGTGGACCCAATACGTTTGGGGTTGTGTCAGTGAACTTAGTAAACTTGGTGGATCGTATGAGCGAACCCAGTAGACTTGATGTATCGCATCAATGAACCCAATAAATTTGGTGTATCGTATCAGTACATCTAGTAAACTTGGGGCTGTGTCAGTAAACTACGGATATAAATTATATGTGGCGGAACTGGACTGGATCGATCGTCGGCGACCAGGTAGCTCAATTTGTAGAGCGTCCGTCTAGAGTTCATAGGGTCCCGGGTTGGAATCCTGGTCCTGTCGAGCATTTCTGTTTTTGCGAGCTTGTCAATCCTTGTTTCCAGCAGTGTTTGAATAATTGGCAAGGAGAAACCAAAAAGTTGATAATAGGTGTGTCTTCGGGTAGAAAACATAGAAATGAGGGAGAAATGTACCGAAACTAGACTTAGTTGGTCGTCGGCGACCAGGTAGTTTAATTGGTAGAACGTCTGCCTAGAGTTCGGAGGGTCCCGGGTTCGAATCCCGGTCTGGTCATGTATTTTTCTTTCTTCTGTTACAGTAATCAAGGAGAGCGTTAGTAAAACAAACCTAGAAAGCATGAGTTATCGTCGGTGTTTCAGTGAAAAACAATAACTCAATGGACGGAGATTACAATATCGGATATACAACATTATTATTGTATTTTACGAGATAAACAAGATGGAAAAGTATATGAATGAAAACATCCGTGGATGCTGCAGGAAAAATTCAACTAAAGCGTATCAATGTTCTGGTTTGCTAATTCAAATTATGCAAAGATGTAGCCAGATGATTTATTTACTTGGACTGGGTATATGAACATACTATATAGTGTGTACATGTTTTCGCGCCCAAAAACATGATTAATGAATCATGTGCCAACTAGCACTTTTGTAACAGACAACTTATAATTCTTCGTGTGGATATGGGGTCATGGCGTCATTAGTTATCGCGTTGCCATGGTGAGGGTTCAGTTTTACCACGGGTGTCCATTGACCTCATAAATATGATATATCACAACCAAAATCAGCTTTTATAGATAAAATACAAGAACGGCGTATAAGAGTAAAACGTTGACTAACAATGAAAAATGGAAAAGAAACTATAGAGTCGGTTTTCTGAAGTGAGTGCACTTTTCCATGTAGCACGTGGTGACAGCGTAATGAACAATAATTAGCGGCGCTAAAAGGGGTAATACATACCTAAACTTCCTTTGCTTAGTAAAGATAATTGACAGTAATTGGTTTTAGGAAGACGTGTAAATAACGGAGAAATTACAATCCCACTTCCGGTTTACGGAGACATCTGATTGTTTGTGTCGTCTGTAATCGGAAGTGACTCGTAGGGTTCCGGTAAAGTGGCGGAATAATACGATGATATCCGATGTGACGGGTGTTAGTTGATTAGCTCGCGTTACAATGTCGGCATGGTCGCCGGTACCAGTGTGGCTACATTACGTAATGACACACACTTATGCCATGTCTTTTGAATGCCTTCAGTCGTCTGCTCCATCGATTTTTTTCTCTGATTGAGATAAGGAATATCGACCAGTGTCTTTCTCGACTTATCTCTTAAACAGCCGAATGCTCTGTTTACTATATACAAACAAGCAGCACATAGGGCTGATGTTTTCCAAATGATTCGAATTTTTTTTTCGTTAGCTGTTCAAAGGAACGAATAGGCGACAGCAGTTATTGATCAGAAAACGCAACTAATGCAATTTATTGAACAGACGAAATCGAATGTGATTTGGGAGAGATGCTGGGTGAAATCTCATTAAGAAGGTGTGAACGTTGTATACATGGGCAGTACCTCTCTAACAAGATAGAACTGCCTTAACGCCACAAACAACCGAACCAAATTATACAGAATACTAACACGTCATAATTCGCGGGCAACTGTAAATATAGGGCGCCCGTTATGTAGCTGTGTAAATAGTGTAGCTGCATGTGAGAGTTGTTGTTCATGAATTGAAACGGTTTTTTAGAACATTGCCTATATTTGTTGTATTAACATTGTTTAATTTACTTTCCCATTATTGTTGCCGAGTAAGAAAATATCAAATATAGACTTTATTTATTTTACAACAATTATGACAGTAAGTCATATCACGGAATTAGATGATCTAAGTCCGTGGTCATATCAACTTATATTAATCACTCGTGTTAGCCCGGATGGACACTATCAGAGGGTTTTAATATGAGAGAGATTACCGGAGTACCAAGAGAAAACTCACGTGGTCCCCCGGGGAGATGACGCGGTACATTTTCACATCCAATCGGGGAATCGAACACTGGCCGTCTTGGTGTAAGGCGATTGCGCTATCCCCTGCACCTACACGCCACCCAATTTAGAAATTAAGGTTAGACAAGAGGTTATCAGTTCAGAACCTATTTGTCGCTATATTACTTGTATGACCTTGTAATGGACACGAAAATGACCTCTATGTCGTCTGAGGTTTTGAATGTTGTACCAAGTGAAGATCTGACCTTTTGAACTGTAATTTCTGAAGCTCAAGAGTACCGGTTAAAGTTATGATATTTAACTTTGTCCTTCTATGCACAGTTGTAAACTATAATAGACACAGCTTATCTTGTTTTCCTGAACTGACCGTTACAACCCCAATCAGGATCCTCGTTCGTTGCTAAACCAATGGCAGCGATTGAGCAATTTTTCAATTATCTGCATTTTCCATTTTTGTGTTATAGACTGACAGATGATCTATCATGTTGATATAGAGCCCGGATGTTCACATTGTGCCGTACCCGGTCATTCCGTCCGGTCCAATGACCACGGTCAAACCGTCCACAAGTGCTATATCAACCGGACTCGCATGCGCACTAACAGTGTGCGAAGATGGTGGTTGATAAATAATCTAACATATCCTTGTCAATTCTTGTGTATCGTATGAAATTGAGAGGAATCTGCTAATCTATTTTTGTGTACAGACTCAGACTTTTTTGTTACTTGAATAATATGAAAAAAAGACAAAACACTATTTAAATAAAACTAAGTGTTCCGATCCAATCTTACAAATGAATAACCAACATTTAATTCTATTTTATAAATGAATTAATGCAAAATGACATGCAAACAATGGCAGAACATGAGGAAAGGGTGATGATATGTACCTATAGCATCCGTAAGGTTTCCAGAGAAGGATTCTGGTCAAAACTCATCATATAGATTGTATATGCTTTCATCAAGTATTCCTTAATGATTGTGAATGTTTGCTGTTTATACGACGGTCTTGCGTACTGCGAGACAGGAGAAGGTTTAACATGATATTGATCCAATTGCGTTCATAGCCCTTTGAACACCATTTTTGTTGGCAGTGTTGACATGGCAATTTACAGCAGAAAAGTATATAAACAGCTATACAAATTACCACACGTCCATGCTTTCCATTAACAAGTAGTTATTATTCCCTACTTAACGGTAATCGGGAAACCTGATTTACCCGTTGTTAGTATAATGTGGGATTCTATGTTGGGTGCCTTCGGCATTGGATTTGAGTTAGATAGCACTCAAAAGTCTGCATCAGATCCGCGCTATCTACAACAGCAACACCTCTAGTATACATATGCACACATTCTTTACGCACCCTGAGAGGCACGTCCTTAAGTGACCTTTGCTGTTAATATGACGTTAAACCAAGTCAAACCTAGCGCCCCTGCCAAACTAGTCAAACCTATCGCCCCTTTCAAACTAGTCAAACCTAGAGCCCCTGTCAAACTAGTTAAACCTAGCGCCCCTGTCAAACTAGTTAAACCTAGCGCCCCTGTCAAACTAGTCAAACCTAGCGCCCCTGTCAAACTAGTTAAACCTAGAGCCCCTGTCAAACTAGTCAAACCTAGCGCCCCTGTCAAACAAGTCAAACCTAGAGCCCCTGTCAAACTAATCAAACCTAGAGCCCCTGTCAAACTAGTTAAACCTAGTGCCCCTGTCAAATTAGTCAAACCTAGCGCCCCTGTCAAACTATTTAAACCTAGAGCCCCTGTCAAACTAGTCAAACCTAGCGCCCCTGTCAAACTATTTAAACCTAGAGCCCCTGTCAAACTAGTCAAACCTAGAGCCCCTGTCAAACTAGTCAAACCTAGAGCCCCTGACAAACTAGTTAAACCTATCGCCCTTGTCAAACTAGTCAAACCTAGAGCCCCTGTCAAACTAGTCAAACCTAGCGCCCCTGTCAAACTAGTTAAACCTAGCGCCCCTGTCAAATCCATTTGTTAAACTTTTCACAAGAGTAAAAATGCACTTTCTTAAAATATGATGTTGTCATTGTTTTGTTCACGTGTACCAGATAACCCATCAGAACGTCACGTGCAGTTTCCCGACATTTCTCTTTTTCTAATTTTACCTGGAGTTATACGTCACGCAGACACCTGTACACATGCAATATAAAACAACACATGCTTTTGTTGTCTGTGTTATCCGCTTTGGGCCCACACAAGTGTGTCTGCACTGCAGAAAAAACGGAAACTGGTTAATATTCTATGTATAAATAACAGACAGGAAAGGTTTATTTTGCACGAAAAAATAACAAAAGTATAATTTTATTCGAGCTGTAAGCAAAGAACTTTTGCAGAGTAGAAACGCTTGTGTTTTAGATCCGGACGACGAGTCGGACAAAGTGGCACGAAACTGCAACACAGGAAAGACTGCAGCAGAAACGCAGATATAACGTGGTTACCTGGCAAAGTACCATACACAAGGCCATGTAAGGCTGAAAAACAATAGACAATAAATATAGGTATTGCACGGATTTGTGGGTGTTTGGGAGGTGGTGGAGGGAGGGGGGCGGCGGGGGGAGTTAAATCTCGCGAAAAAAAATCATTGTGCTAAAAATGAAGTTTCAAAGTTGCTATGGAATCGTTGCATTACCCAGACACCTATATATTTAACATGGTTGGTTTCGGAGTAAACGAAAGGAGGACGGTACAGGAGACAGCCCACTTCACTGGTGTATATAAGAGCTCAGTATTGATATAGTGTAATTGCATTGTACTTTTACTGGTGTAAGGATTCTATGTTGATAAAGGGCAAGAACTTTACTGAACTGTAACGTTCTCGGAAATTCTTCAATTACAAATCACATCAATGTGAGAATGTGCCGAGAACAAACACAACAGTCAGCTCGTCGACGCCTACAACGCCCGCTAAAATCGCGTGCTGTCGCTCTCGTGCTCGTTGAGGATACCCGACATGCTCTGAAAGCGCGGGTACGCGACTATACTACATGGCCGTCTCCGCAACGCTTGTAGTCAGTGTCTCGCGTAGCGCCCTCTACTGACCTATATCTGTATCGCAAACAAGTGTATTGCTATTGTTGCAGAAGAGAGTTAGAAGCGGTCGTTGGTTCAGGTTGTTAAATATTCATAGACCACTTGTACTCCAATGTTTTAGTGGCAGTAAAATGGACATCAATATTTGATGACCTGATTGATATAGCGGATCAATCACACCCACTTCGTCTGTGATCTGTTGTTAAACCCAACTCATCTCTTCAACAGAGCTTCATAATCACAGGTGTTCATGATTAATCGGACCTACGGGGCTATATATGTATGTGTATATAACAGACAATTCGGCTCAGAAGTTTGGACTGATTTTTATTAAAAATCTATAAAAGTATATAATAAAAAAGGTATGTATGAAGTCCATGTATCCATACAGCATAGAAAATAAAAATTCGAGCTTAACATTCGATAAAAATAGAAAAATATGAACAAAGGAAATATTCGATTGAATGTCCTTGAAGAAGTACCCGATTTATAAGACCAGGCGTACCGGAAGTGTAAGTGTATTAGTTAAACAATACATTTTGCGGCACGTTATTCGGTTTTAAAACTTTGGATAAACACGGTGCCATAACACAGGGACATGATCATTTGTTACAGCTATATTTGGAGCTAAACTAAGTGTTCAGAGTAATTTGACATGTTTTAGGGGTTTAGATCCACTTTCGGTAAAAATGACACCCCCAATGATTATATATACCGAGTAGGGAGGAAAGCTCTCGATGTCGAAATGTCGACCCCAACTTACTTTCTTGCATCAAAAACAACATTTCTAGTTGATCTACGGGAAAATGCTTAGTACCGTGGGAAAGATGGATATGTTTCCTTTTAAAAACCTCCTCTTTACACGTAAAATTTATTCTCCTTCCGCGGACATGAACTCCGTTTCATCAAAAAACACCTGCAATTACAGAGTTTCAAAGTTTTTCGCAGTCAGCCTGCATCTTTTTTGTAGCAGGTTGATAACGTTCCACTAGGTTAAAGTTATGATATTTAACTTTGTCCTTCTATGCACAGTTGTAAACTATAATAGACACAGCCTATCTTGTTTTCCTGAACTGACCGTTACAACCCCATTCAGTATCCTCGTTCGTTGCTAAACCGATGGCGGCGATTGAGCAATTTTTCAATTATCTGTATTTTCCATTTTTGTGTTATACACTGACAGATGATCTATCATGTTGATATAGAGCCCGGATGGTCACATTATGCCGTACCCGGTCATTCCGCCCGGTCCGATTACCACGGTCAAACCGTCCACATATACAAGGGTCGCATATAAGTGCTATATCACGCGGACACGCATGCCCACTAACAGTGTGCGAAGATGGTGGTTGATAAATAATCTAACATGTCCTTGTCAATTCTTGGGTATCGTATGAAATTGAGAGGAATCTGCTATTCTATTTTTGTGTACAGACTCAGACTTTTTTGTTACTTGAATAATATGAAAAAAGACAAAACACTATTTAAATAAAACTAAGTGTTCCGATCCAATCTTACAAATGAATAACCAACATTTAATTCTATTTTATAAATGAATGCAAAAAATGAAATGCAAACAATGGCAGAACACGAGGAAAGGGTGATGATATGTACCTATAGCATCCGTAAGGTTTCCCGAGAAGGATTCTGGTCAAAACTCATCATATAGACTGTATATGCTTTCACCAAGTATTTCTTAATGCTTGTGAATGTTTGCTGTTTATCCGACGGTCTTGCGTACTACGAGACAGGAGAAGGTTTAACATGATATTGATCCAATTGCGTTCATAGCCCTTTGAACACCATTTTTGTTGGCAGTGTTGACATGGCAATTTACAGCAGAAATGTATATAAACAGCTATACAAATTACCACACGTCCATGCTTTCCCTTAACATGTAGTTATTATTCCCTACTTAACGGTAATCGGGAAACCTGATTTACCCGTTGTTAGTATAATGTGGGATTCTATGTAGGGTGCCTTCGGCATTGGATTTGAGTGAGATAGCACTCAAAAGTCTGCATCAGATCCGCGCTATCTACAGCAACACCTCTAGTATACATATGCACACATTCTTTACGCACCTTGAGAGACACGTCCTTAAATGACCATTGCTGTTAATATGACGTTAAACCAAGTCAAACCTAGCGCCCGTGTCAAACTAGTCAAACCTAGCACTCCTGTCAAACTAGTCAAACCAGTCAAACCTAACGCCCCTGTCAAACAAGTCAAACCTAGGGCCCCTGTCAAACTAGTCAAACCTAGCGCCCCTGTCAAACTAGTCAAACCTAGCGTCGCCGTCAAATCCATTTGTTAAACTTTGCGCAAGAGTAAAAATGCACTTACTTAAAATATGGTTTTGTCATTGTTTTGTTCAATTTCCCGACATTTCTCTTTTTCTAACTTTACCTGGAGTTATACGTCACGCAGACACCTGTACACATGCAATATAAAACAACACATGCTTTTGTTGTCTGTGTTATCCGCTTGGGCCCACACAAGTGTGTCTGCACTGCAGAAAAAAACCGGAAACTGGTTGATATTCTATGTATAAATAACAGACAGGAAAGGTTTTATTTTGCACGAAAAAATAACAAAAGTATAATTTTATTGTGGTTGGTTTCGGAGTAAACGAAAGGAGGACGGTACAGGAGACAGCCCACTTTACTGGTGTATATAAGAGCTCAGTAATGATATAGTGTAATTGCATTGTACTTTTACTGGTGTAAGGATTCTATGTTGATAAAGGGCAAGAACTTTACTGAACTGTAACGTTCTCGGAAATTCTTAAATTACAAATCACATCAATGTGAGAATGTGCCGAGAACAGACACAACAGTCAGCTCGTCGACGCCTACTATGCCCGCTGAAATCGCGTGCTGTCGGTCGCGTTCTCGTTGAGGATACCCGACATGCTCTGAAAGCGCGGGTACGCGACTATACTACATGGCCGTCTCCGCAACGCTTGTAGTCAGTGTCTCGCGTAGCGCCCTCTACTGACCTATATCTGTATCGCATACAAGTGTATTGCTATCTTAAATGCAATTTGTTGCAGAAGAGAGTTAGAAGCGGTCGTTGGTTCAGGTTGTTAAATATTCATAGACCACTTGTACTCCAATGTTTTAGTGGCAGTAAAATGGACATCAATATTTGATGACCTGATTGATATAGCGGATCAATCACACCCACTTCGTCTGTGATCTGTTGTTTAACCGAACTCATCTCATCAACAGAGCTTCATAATCACAGGTCTTCATGGTTAATCGGACCTACGGGGCTATAGACAGTGGCAGATCCAGAGACCTTTCTGGGGGGATCCAAATGTCCAGGGGTGGTTTCCATGTGTGGAAAATTTGAGGAAAATGGTGAAAATACATGATTTTTAAAGAAAATTATCATGGCGGGGGGATTTCCTGAAGCCTAAAAAAACCTCTGGATCCGCCACTGCATATATGTACAGCACAGAAAATAAAAATACGAACTTAACAATTGATAAAAAAAGAAAATTATGAACAAAGGAAAGATTCACTTGAATGTCCTTGAAGAAGTACCCGATTTATAAGGCCAGGCGTTCCGGAAGTGTAAGTGTATTAGTTAAACAATACATTTTGGGGCACGTTATTCAGTTTTTTAAAACTTTGGATAAACACAGCGCCATATCACAGGGACCTGAGAAGTTGTTACAGCCACCAGGCTAATATCTCCCTATGTGTGTATGCCTGCGTGTGTGCTGGAGATGCATTGAGAGGAGCAACAGTTACTAAAAACGTATACAAAGTAAATATAAGAAGTATACATGTACAAACATTTCACTCAGCGCTGGTGGCATAATAAAGTAATTGTGTGTCGCCATTTGTTTTGGGTTTAGTTTTGTGCGAGTTGACGTCAACAATACAGCTATTAAGTCATATCAATACAAGTTCGAAATGCTCAAGTGCCCTTTCCGTC